TAAACAAAGAAAAAAAAAAAGACAATTTTCTGCAAAAAAGAAACATTAAACCTAATTTAGCCATAAGTAGACAAGATGAACATCATAGCGCTAGCAGTCATTGCTGTCTTAGAAGTATCTTTTGTCACGCCGGATGCTGGTGCTGTCTAAAATCCCACAGTTCTGACAATATCCTGCTTTGCTGAGTTCTGTGTAAAACGTAAAGGCAGCTAATTTTGCTATCTTAAGGAAATCTGTGGAAGAGACAACGACTGAGGTATGGAGCCGACTTCCTCTTGTCGTGTACCAATCTCACGTACAATGCATGCGCTTCAAACGCATTTCTAACAGGCAAAGGTTCTCTGCAATTAAGCGGTGGATTAGTTACATTCTAATAGGGATCACGTCTATTAAGGAGAGGGCGTCGCGTTACATTAGGAATCTAAAACCAGCATCACATGTTGCTTATTAACTCCACCCACCCATGAACTCCCCGTGTGTTCATGTGAGCGGAGAGGAAAAACCCAAGGGGGGAGCATGAATATGCAAAGAAAATACCTTGAAATACATCTTTACAATTTGAGGCAAACCATAAACTCTGATTGCTTGGGGTCCAAACATGAAGCCACAAACAAAGCTTGACACGCACAAAGAATCACTTGAATTCCCCGAAATCCATCTCAGTTTGGATATTTTTACTTCCCTTCTCCAAAATCGTACTTTTTTGTTTTCAAATGAGTTGCACAGGTTATATAGGCCACAATAACGGCAGAAAACATTTAAAAATGACTTATCTTGGTTTGATTATTTTCTTTGTACATCACAAAAACCTGCCAAGTAATCCATGACAATGTCACACCATAACAGTGAAGCCCCCTTTTCCACCACAAATGTCATTACAAAGGGCAAGTAATCCATGACAACATCACACCATAACAGTGAAGCCCCGTTTTCCACCACAAATGTCATTACAAAGGAGCCGTTTTCCCCAGTTGACCTCCAATTAGCCAACTAGGGTCTTGTGATGCTTGCCAGACACAGACAAGCACAAGATAGTCATGAAGACATTATGTACAGTATAAGCAAGTGAAAGACCATGAAAAAAAAAAGTCTGACCTGAGCTGATTGAAGCTCAAGTCCAGCCTTCTTGCAAAATCTCCAAAAGAGGCCCCAAGGAAGTCTGGGATGTCCTTACAATCGTGTCCAATGTAGGAAATCTGGAAAAAAAAAAAAAGGAAATTTCTCTCTAGCAGCAGTGATGGAGTTGATGAAGACACGTAAGACATTATAAGCTGTCGTTTTACATCTTGCTATTCGCAGCCACAAAAAGTGTGTTCTAAATAAAGTAATAGCATGAATAGCTTGGATTCATATGTTTTGATTTTGTTTTTCAGCGGCCATTTTGGCGTGCTGCAGCAGCACATGTCAACCACTACAATTATATCAATGTGATATATTAAAACAGCAATATTACTATTTTGCGCTTGTATTGGATCTCATCATAAATCCTGCGAGAGTGTCTTATATTGTGGTCAGTTGACAGCACATTTATTATTTCTAACACATTTATTCACTCTAAGTGCTTTCATACCGTCTGCATTAGAAATCATAAGCGTATGCTGGTTGTGTGTATTTGTGAGAATGTTACACTATAAAAGCATACATTTTAGACGTTTTATAAAGGTAAAAGTAGTATAATAATTAAGTCGTTTATACTACAGATTTTACACAGATTGATTTTCGACATTTGTTACTTACTTGAGGACATTTGTTTGGATGGTTTCGCTCCTGGTTGAGTTGAGTAAAAGTAAAGTGTTGAAAAGAACATTTGGGTGGGTTACTAAGACCACTTTTCATCATTTCTGCCTAGCTTTTACATTGACTGAATGGCATTGCAGATCCAACTTGCGGATAATGTTTTGGGCAGTTGTCAGTGTTAGTTTTATTTAACACACGACGACTGCAAACGTGTTTGGATTGTGCATCTCTTTAGATAACGATAATGTGGAATACAAGGCAAATGCTGTTGGCAAATTTTCGACATGGGGGAAAAAGTTTGAGACATTTTATAAAGTACATCTCGTTACCTCCTTGAATGGTTTTTAAAGCAATTTGGGGAGTCCCAGGAACCACTTTCAAGCACTACCTCAACTTGGACACGCCGTATTCCGTCATATTGAGTGGGAGGAACCTCCACGCGTGGTCACATGACAGCTTGCAGCTGAGACGCTGCACGCTACCGAACAGGTTGAAAACGTTTCAAAAAAAAAACACTCACTATTAGAACAACAACAAACACTTACATGAGTTCCATTCAAAGCCACCGGCGACTCCCTGCACGCCATCACCTCTAGTCGGAATGACAGTCCAGCAGCCGCGTGTTACTCTCGCTCTCTCTGTCAGTCAGTCTAATGATAAATGCGAAGATCCGTTCACGCCGGACAAGGCTGCCAATCGTGTGTTGTGGGTCCGTGATGCGACTAAAAGTTAATGCGGACTGTGTGCGGTGACTTTTTTTTTTTGCCGAGTTCAGTTAGTTGGTGCTTTCCGCGTGTCTTGATCAGCTGACCTGCGTGTGCGGAAATGTCCTACGCAGGCTGGCTGGCGGTGGGAGGCTTGCTGGCTGCCCGATTTATAGAATGCTTCGCGCCGCACATTGAGACGCCTGTTTTGTTATTATCACACGACGCTCCACAGTGCTGGGGGGCGCACAAAGAGACCGTTCAGTCAACTTCGTGTCCACTCAACTCAAAGTAGTGCACTGCTAAGTCGTGTATTGTACAGACTTAACACAATACTTCCGTTTGCTACTGAATAGCTGCATGCCAGCCAACTAACAGTTCACGTTAGCTTTAAGCTGACCAGCTAGCATGAGCTAATCTTTTTAAAAGACACGAGTCAGCTAATTCTACATACAAACAAGTGTTGTAGTTATGAAATAAATACTCTAGCTTTTGAACTTGATTAAAATGAACTACCAAGTGAAACTCGCCAGATGTTTGCTCGTTGATAAACAGCTCACATTAGCTGACAGCAAAGTAGCCAGAATGCGCTTAAATTTTAGAAGATATGAATCACAGAATTGTTCATATAACAAATGTTTCGTATCACGACAGTGAAATTATTGAACTTTAACTACCAAGCGTCACTATGAACTTTTTTCCCCAAAATATCCTAACAAAATGCTAAAATGCTAACCTGAACTACTGCGTTACCAATTAGCTACGTTATTTAGCCGACTCATGTTGCTAACCAGCCTGCATGAGCAAACATTTTAACAGAAATAACTTAGAGGATTACACATAGTAACACCTTTTGTGTCATGAAATACATGAAAAAAAAAACCTCTTGAATGTTATTAAAATGAATGACACAGTGGACTAGCCACTATTTGCAAATACTGTATATCCTGCCAAAATGCTAACATGCTAAAAAGGACTTAAATTTAAAAGGATAATGCTCATAATCCACATGTAAAGGCACAATACAAAATTTGAATTTTTTAACTAATGAGAATACAGTACATAGTGCAACTTTTACATGAGGTCAAGAAATGTAAAAACAGATAAGCAACAGAGCTAACAATGAGGACAGACAATGTTACTTAGCAAATCAAATATTCCAAGATTTTGACATGAATTGGGCATTTTATACAACTTTTGAATAGTAAAAACACATGAATAATCAACACCCCCCAAAAGATTGCCTAATAGCCTACAGATAGTTGGTCAATAGAACAGTATTTTTTTTAAGATGGCTAAAAACTAGGCCTGAAATGGAAAGAGAGGGAGACCAACTCCTGTTGGTTGTCATTTGGTTTTTTTTCCCCTGTGTTTACGTAATCTAATTATCAAGAGTTCTATTAACTGTCAATTTACTTTGGTGTGCTTAGAAGGGGTCTAAAAGCTTGACAGAGGAAAGAGAAACTTTGACAAAGAGGCTGTCATAAACAACTATGATCCTTACACAATTCAAACATCACAGTGACAATAAATGTCAGTTCTCTACTCGGGCTTTTTTGTACAAAATCCTGCAAGGTGATAAATTGGTCAGCTAGGTTAGTATTGTACATGATTGACAAGAGAGGAAGAAGCCCCCCTGCTACCTCCTGACTTCACCTCCCTCCTTCCCTCGTGTTTCTGTGACTTCTGACGTCACATAAGGCACGCCCACTCAGGAACAACTGCTTGCTGGATCCGGAGCTATAGGGAGAGCGGATTCACACTTACACAATACACACGTTATAACCGAAAGAGGGCTTTGTCAAATATGAGTAGGTTTTCAAAAAATACATATATGTTAATCTTGGTGCGGCGTTATTTACCTTTTTTTCATGACACGTTTTACAAGGGAGTTTAGTATACGAGAGATACAGGTAATGTCGAGGGACGTCGGCGTGCATGAATGCATGAATTTAAATTAAATAGCCTTTTGTGCTTTATTTTCCTTCGAGACTATGATGCTTGTCAGTGGGAGTTTGCTTCTTGAAATTGCTACAATGCAATTTAAAGTGTGGAATTTATAACCTTTTTAAAGTTATTTATATAGAAACTACAACGTTCTCACCCTTTGCATATTTAAAATTGATTTTGCATGTGAGTCAGTCATTAGCCTGTATTATTGGGATTTTTTTTTAAATGTAATAGATTATGGTTTCCAATGCTATTTGACAGGAATGCCGAATAGCGTGTGCGCAAGCGTGTGTGTGTGTGTGTGTGTGTGTGTGTGTGTGTGTGTGTGTGTGTGTGTGTGTGCGCGCGCGCGTGCATGCATACACAAGGCCATTCGTCTTGCGGGACAATAAAAGGAGAGTTTTTTGGGGGCCTGACACTGACAATTTATGGCTGCCCTTCCTCGCCCTAATAACTCACATACTGTGTCACGGACTGTCAAACCCACGCAGAACACAGCCACGCTGTTATCAATCACACAATTTTGCATATTGTCACACAGACGCACACTATAGAACACCCCACTCTCACAAAAAAACTGCCGGGAAGATAGTTGAAGTGTTTGCACTTAACATTTTATTGACGTGACAAATGTCATGTTTGTTTGCTTGAACCCCTGTTCCTCTGTATGACTGAATTTCAGTTTTAAGTAAGTCAAACTAAGTATAGGAGGAAATATGACATAACAATTGGACAAATATTTAATATTATTTGTTTTGAGCATCTGGGGGTTTTAGGTTTCGAGTTTTTTTTTTTTTTTTTTTTTTTTACTTGAAATACCAGTTGCTTGCAAAGTTTTCTTGATTTTTTTTTAGCTGCATGATGGTCCAGATCAAATTCTCAATTGGCTGTTATGACCTACAGGCCATAGTTCCCCCACCTCTAATTTAAAAACGAACACCTGGGGAGGGGGAAAGTTGACTATAAAGTGAAAGTTGTGGAGAAAATCCCTATATTGTTACTGCTCCTGATTTGTATATTAAAACGACATATGACAATATGTGTGCTGTTGTTTTTGCCTATTTCGGCTTGGAGGACCCCTACCCTGTCAAATTGTTGCATGAAACACACACACACACACACACACACACACACACACACACACACACACACAAGGCGAAAGTACAAATAAATACTTATATTTATAAATTAAATTAAATTAAATTTACAAACACCCAAAAATTTAATTAAAAGAACATTTAGTGGTTTTTCTATTGAAGAACTAACTAGTGTGTGTGTGTGTGTGTGTGTGTGTGTGTGTGTGTGTGTGTGTGTGTGTGTGTGTGTTCAGTTAGTTGTAGTAAAGAGGATATTTGCAGGTAACTTGGGATGTCTAATTAGATTTTGAAGTGTTATACATGATAGAAAAACTAAAATAGTGTTTAAAATAGTATTATTTTAAAAAGGTTAAATATATTTTAATTAGAACATTTCAGCTTTCATATATTGTAATTCAAATGTTGCATTTTAAAATGATTTCATTTGATTGTAATTAAAATAATTAGAAAAAGAAAAACGTTATCAAATGTCAACGTGTACCTTTTTCCCCCTTTAAAAATAAAGTTTTAACTTTTTTCCCCCCTGTGTGAGAGTCCAGGGCAGTTTTTCTCGTGGCTGTGCCTCTCCAAAACTTGACCTGTCAAGACGATTACCGCAGAGGGAGATAAATGGCAGAGGCGGGTTGCAATAATCATCGTTTTGTTTGATGTGACAAGCCTGATAGGCGTTGATTTACTTACAAACTGATAGGCTTTTAATTGAGCGCCGATGGAGATGAAAGCATTGAAAGGAATCCCCACCCCCACCCTTTACTCCCCTGAAGTCTCAATAGTGATTAGCCCTCTCAGCGGTGAATAGTTGGGAGCCGTTTTCTACTTTTTCTTTTCTTCGCACCACCTGACAGTCCATCGCTCTTCCTCTTTTTACACACACACGAAAAAGAAGCCCATTTTTTTTTCTTCTCGCAAATAAAACCGAGCCGACGTCAGTGTGTAAAATGTCTGCCTCTGTTATCTCTTTGTTTGAGTTGGCAGGTGACAACCATCTGCAAACACGCACATCCAATAACCGCGTCAAATATGCATGGCTATGAATTATGTTTCATATATTTGAATTAAGCTGCACCTTCTCATGGGGTGTCAAAATGCTCCACCGTAAAACGTTAGTGAACTATTTTTTTGCCCCAGCACGCATTCATTGACATAAATCAAATGGAGCATTGATTGACAGCCCCTTCTTGACAAATAACTGATTGATTGCATTGACTTGGGGTACAGGGAGGGGCGGTGAGGCTAGGAATAGAAATAGGGGGCGGGTTGTGCGTTATAGTGCAAACATGTGACATTTGCGTCCCCTCCATCACTTACTTTTTGGTCTATTCCTGTCAACGCTCGTCTGTTTAAGCAGAGAGTGGAGCGGTTGGTTTGATGGTTGCCAGGTGGCATAGGAGAGTTGGTAGCTGGACCTTGAAGACATCCATTTTGGGGCTTTTGCCGAAATCTATAGAGCCAATATTACACAGTACTGTACAGTAAATGTTAAATATATGTTTGCAGCTTAGATATACATTGTATTTGATGAAAAAAAATTCACATTTTCAAAGAACCCAAAGCCAAAAAATTATTTGAATCATTAAAATGTTGAGGATGTTAGCAAAAAATTAGCTTCCATTGGTCACCAGTGGACAGCTGGCCAAAGAGGTGGTAAACTTCATAAGGTGACGCAGAGAAAGGATTGCTTTTATCCGTGGTGGAAGTTGATAACGGCTAATTCCTCAAAAATAATTATAAAGTACCGAACTGCAGATAAAGAGCCGTAATGATGTGCATCATGTGTTTTTAAAATGAGAGTAAGTACTTTTTCAATGGAAATAGACAGCTATGAGGAAAGTAATCATAGGGATGTTTATAGTTTTGCAAAAATGGTGACATATACTCCAGCTTCCTTGCATTTCTGGTGTTTTTTTTTTTTTTAATCATCTTTAACCCATGTGTTTTACAGTAATGCTCCATGTTGACTTTTAGGACTTATTAAAGTGTTCACAGTATGAATAGAGGTTATTATTGTCAAAAAAATGAAAAGAAACATTAGGGCGGGGTATCCATGACTGAGGAATTTTCGCTGTTCACGTCGGGATGTTGCCACTAATTCTTCGAATAGGGTGCGTTCATTGTTTTCCAATGAAGTGACAGTTCTGACATGCATCAATCATACTAAGCAGCACTCAACAGGATGGGTTTGTTTCTGTCTTTTGGATGACAGTCTGGGTGCTTCTATGAAAAACACATGTCATTAAAAACAAGTGTACAATATTTTCCATTCCAGTGGAAAACCAAATGTGGATTTCCAGTGGAAATTTGACGTTTTATAGGGAGGCGGGGGTATGCCAACAGAGTATGATTTACTATTCTAATTTATTAAACACCTATTAGGAAAGTAGTACAATGTTCACCTGGTGTCTAGTGGTTCAAAGTATATTGCTCTGCTATGCTGGTTATAGGCATTTAGTATTTTACTTCCTGCTTAACACTACACTTTTATTTACTTTAATATCCTTGCATGTGGGTAAGGATGACCACAGTAATTGATGAACCTTTCAGCAATTTATGAAATGCTGGGAGAGCAGCAAAACTCAAATAATGAGCACTCTCGCACAGACTTGCCACCCACAAGGCCATACAATATGCACAGTGTCTTCTATACAGTTTGTGTCACAAATCATAACATAATTACATAGACAGAAGGAATTAAACAGTTTGTGTATCATGAGTCCATTCTTCATTTCAATTTATTATGCTGCTCCCTCTGGTGTATGCACCTCAGCCACCCGGGGGCAGTATAAAACAAACATATTAAATACATGAAGATGGTCACAACTACAACTAAGCAGTCAGCAGCAGTAATATTTGTTGTTTTTCGAGGAACATGTAAAATACAGGCCTGTGACTATTCAATTGTTTGTCTTCATGTGTTGCTGCACCGTTTGATCAAGTGCCCACTGCTTAAAGCTTTGTAAGTAAAATGGCATGGATGCGACTCTGGTTGGCTTGTCTGTGGAATGTTGCAGTGTGTTCGCAAAAGATGGTGGGATTTCATAAGACAAAGTTAATATGGCTTGTTTAAATACACAACAACTAATTGTCTTTCATTTGCATTTAGTTGTACAGTAAGTTTCAATTGGGACTGGCAACTAATAGCTTGAATGCTCCTTTTTGAAGAGTTGAAGGTGCCATATCGCTGCTCGTAATTCAGAACCGAAAATCCTGAGCATTCCGGCAAGTCGAAAAATATAAATCAACGCTCCCGATCTCCATATTTGCAGTCTGCAAATCATAAACAATCTTCTACCCTCAGAAAAGAGTTGGTTTGGTGCGAAAAACACGAAAAACTGCAAGGTTGAGGGAGGAAAACGAGTCAGCGTTACCAGCAAACAAATATTTAAAAATCTACCACGGGGCTCCTCCCCTCTTGTGGCGCTGACAAGGCGGATGACGTCACATCCCATTGACCCTCCAATCACCTCGGGCTGCCATTTGATTGGAAGGCGGCAAAGGCTTTCATCTCGGGACTAACTCAGATGCCTCCCCCCCTCCTCTCCTTACCCGAGTGAAAACGTCTCCCAGTCTCTCGTGCGGGACTACACGCAAGGAGGACGCGGACACGGACGCACACGGCGGAAACATCTTCTTTCCTCTTTCGCTGCTTCTACTAATTCCACATCAGCAAAAACAGGATTATTATTCTCAATCGCCTTGTTTTGATCGGTTTTAACCCTTATTGGCGGTTTCCTTCATGCATCTGAGCGAAGCCTCGCTGTCCACTTGGCTGACCATTGGGACATGAGCACGTCGCCCTCGGCGTCTGTCCTGACGAATCTCGGTGAGTTGAGCGCAGCCTGGGAGCAAGCCAGTCGTCGGGGAAGCAGCGGTAACGACGAGCCGGCCTCTTCTCTCTTCATCCACAAGCAGCAGCAGCCGAGGCAGAAGCAACAACACTCGGCGCCGCCGTCAGACCCGCTACGGCAAGCCAAGCGACTCCCGGTGAAGGTTTTGAAAATGCTCACCGCACGCTCGGGACACATTTTGCACCCGGAGTATCTGCAGCCTTTGCCCTCCACTCCCGTAAGCCCCATCGAGGTAAGAATAATATGTAATGGATGTGTCTTTTTTTTAAAGGTGGTAATTGTGTTTGTTTTATAAGAAAGAAAATGTTCGCCTGAAATCTTAAAGTAGCAATAAAATGACCCTTTCGTCTCCAGCTGGATGCCAAGAAGAGTCCCCTGGCTCTTCTGGCGCAGACGTGCTCCCAGATCGGCAAGCCGGACCCGCCGCCCTCCTCCAAGCTCTCCTCGGTCGCCTCCAATGGATCTAGTGACAAGGATTCTAAATGCGGCCCGTTGAAGATGAGCGACATCGGCGCGGACGACAAGTCCAGCTTCAAGCCCTACTCCAAGCCGTCCGACAAGAAGGACTCGTCGGGCAGCGGCGGCGGAGGCGGCGGCGCGGACAAGTCTGGTTTCCGAGTGCCGAGCGCCACCTGTCAGCCGTTCACGCCGCGCACAGGCAGCCCCAACTCGAGCTCCTCCGCCTCCCCCATGCCGGCGGAGGGCAAGTGCGGGGAGCGGGACGACAAGAAGGAGTCGGACTGCGGGAAAAGCGGCGCGGACGGCAGCTCGGCCACGTCAAGCCACAGCCGGATAAGCGTGAGTTGCGGTGGGATTAACGTGGAGGTTAACCAGCACCAGGAGACCACGCACGGCCCCAAGACTTCCACTTCCTCCTCGGCGTCTGAGTCCTCCCCGGTCACGTCCGTGTCCTCGGCGTCGGTGCTCGGCTCGGGGCTGGTGGCGCCCGTGTCTCCTTACAAGCCGGGCCAGACCGTGTTCCCGCTGCCCCCGGCTGGCATGACGTATCCGGGCGGCTTGGCCGGGGCCTACGCGGGCTACCCTCAGCACTTCATGCCGCACGGGGGCAGCCTGGTGAACGCGCAGCTGGCCAGCTCGCTGGGTTGCAGCAAGGCCGGCTCCAGCCCTCTGGCCGGAGCCTCCCCGCCCTCTATCATGTCGGCCAGCCTGTGCAGAGACCCTTACTGCCTCAGCTACCACTGTGCCAGCCACTTGGCGGGCGCGGCCGGGGCGTCGTGTACGCACGACTCTGCGGCGGCTGCTGCTGCCGCGGCCAACGCGCTCAAGTCCAGCTACCCACTCATGTACCCTACGCACCCCATCCACGGAGTGCACTCGTCGGCCCCTTCGTTCAGCGGACACCCCCTGTACCCGTACGGTTTTATGCTCCCCAACGACCCCCTGCCTCACGTGTGCAACTGGGTGTCGGCCAACGGACCGTGCGACAAGCGTTTCTCCACCTCGGAGGAGCTGCTCAACCACCTGAGGACACACACCGCTTTCACCGGAGCCGAAAAGCTCATCTCCGGTTACCCGAGCTCCTCCTCTCTGGCCAGCGCGGCTGCTGCAGCCATGGCCTGTCACATGCACATGCCGCCGTCTGGGGCCCCCGGCAGCCCCGGGACTTTGGCTCTGAGAAGCCCCCACCACGCATTGGGACTCAGTAGCCGCTACCACCCGTACTCGAAGAGCCCGCTGCCCACCCCCGGAGCCCCCGTCCCTGTCCCCGCGGCCACCGGCCCGTACTACTCCCCTTACGCACTGTACGGCCAGAGACTCACGACAGCATCCGCGCTTGGATATCAGTGAGCAGGGGAGATTAAAAAAAAAAAAAAAAGACTGCAAAGTTTATAATACAAAGAATGCAACTATAAAGACTTTTATATGAACATATGGGCGGGATCCGTGGACTTCAAACTGTATTTATTTATACGTCTGCTTAAAAAAAAGCAGGCTGCAAAATGGAACATATTTGAGCAAGTCAAGAAGTGCATTATGTGGAAACATAAGTTTAGAGCTAAAGTGGATCAGCGGAGCACACGCCGTTAGAACTAATTCAAAGTAGGCTTCCTCATTTCGATGTTCATTTCAAAATTGCTATGATTGTATTTGTTCTTATTTAAAAGGAAAAAAAAACAAAATGTCTCAACGAGAAAAGAAAAATAATTTACATGCATGTTTTTTTTGTTTGTTTTGTTTCTTAAAATTCAGAAATCGTCCACATTTGAAATTGCCGTTATTTTTCAGGTGTTTACCATGGGAAGAGAATTGGTATTTTTTTGTATGTATTCTTGGGGGAATAAGAAACAATTCTGTTACATATCTCCTTGTGCGTCATTGATTTGATTCACCACCGATGAGAACTGTGCTTTATTCTTTATTCTAACATTAATTCCGTTGGATGTAAAAGGAGTGTGTCGTTATCAGACATATTTTTTAAGCTTTCACCATTTGAAAAAAAAACAATTTAATAGGAAGAAGGATGCGCTATAAATTAAATATAAAAATAGTTACGCTATAGTGTGTGTGTGCGTGCGTGCGTGCGGCCAGGCGTAACGTCGAGATCTTATTTATTTGATACGTTTTGTGGTTAAAAAATGGAGGGGATAATTAATATTTTGTGAGGGTCGTTGTCAAAAACCTGGACAATATATTTACACTGTAAGTCGTAATATTTTAAGGGTGTGTATGAAGTTAATAAAACTGGAGGAATTTAACGGACATGAAAAAATAAAGGAACTCGCCCATCAGGTTAATTTTTACACACACTCACACACGTTCACTCACACACACACACACACACACACACACACACACACACACACACACACACACACACACACGCAGAGACACACACACACTCCATTGCGATATACTGTATTGCGATGTGTTTATGCAGATACGGCGCACTGCGAAATAATCGGATTTTAATTCAAACACGGCCATTTAAAAGCATTAAATGTGACTTACTTTTAAACCTCAAAAAATGTGCTTTTTACACAGTAAATAATTTTGGAAGTCATACTCAAACACCATTTCGAAGAACAGCCCAGTCAAAGCGCACGAACTCGACGCGAGGCGTGAAAAGTTGCGTGGGTGTTTTTTAATCTCACATTTAATTGTAATGACACAAGTACTTGTCTTAATTGCTGAAATTATTCTTCGCAGACTATCGCACCAGTGCGTCCTGTAAATAACAACGTGACGTTATGACGACCAAGGCGAGCCATTTCCATGTTTACACATGACCATGCCTGCGCTCGGAGGTCCCCGGTGGAAGGCCATTCATCATGCACCCCTCCTCCCGCCACTGTCACCTGAGGGGGGCAAAAGGAGGTGGTGGGGGGCGCAGGCACATGTGCGCATGAATTAGCGTGACTCCCACCTTGACTTGCCTGCATGGCCTCCTACCCGCACCGTATTTGTACAAACACACGCACACACACGCACGCACGGTGTCATGAGGATGTAAAACGCGGATTAAAGTGGATATTCACTTTTGTCCAGCAGGACCTTAAAAAGGCTTAGAAAAGACGAGGATTTACACTGAAGGGGGGGGGGGTGTCACTGGACACCTTATTAGGTACAGCTGCGTTATCGAAAGAGACTCAAAAGTCGAGCCGTATTAAAATATGTCAATGCAGGAGCAGTTTATAATGGTGTGGAAGCGCACAAAAGAAAAATAAGGTCACCGGAATATTTAAATAATATTGATAATAAAATAGGAGTCTGATAAAATGCGTTTTTACACCAGTGCCAAAATAAACTGTAGCCTACAAAAAGAACACACACACACACACACAAGAACATGTATATATTTTTTAAAAATGGGTGTGTTTGATGATCACTCATAAATACTTGACATTGTTTGACACATCGACAGAGACCCTGCATGCATAAATCCAGTTTGGGGATCGCCGTTGTAGCTTGTGTCCCTAATGATGTGGCGAGATCAAATTCATGGTCTACCAGAATATAAAAATAATAACTGTAACCCAAATTATGACTGCAGTCCTGTTCACCTCACAGAGTTTAGGATATTTTGATGGTGACTATTAAAAAAAAAAGGCACACCAACTGTTTGTTGTTATGACCAACAGTCTATTTTTTTTTTTTTTTGGATCATTTTACCATACTCCCAAGCTCACATGAGAAATCAGCATGAGTCGAAGACATCAGCTTGTCTTAGTTCTCCTCAGTTCAGCTAGCATCATAGTATTAATTCCATGTTTGGCTTTTTATTTGCAACATTAAAAAATAAATAAAAATAAAATTGCAACACTGTCATGCACACATCTGGACAAACCTCACATTGCATTACTCCAGGACATATTCCACAAGGGTTGACTTTTCTTTAGCTTTTTTAGTTGCAACTCTGAAATGATTGACAACGTATGCATAACTCACTCGACCCCAGTTCAGCAAGAATCAAAGTATAATTCCAACTGGCTTTTTTTAGACACTTTTTTTTTGAACGGACCACCATCATGCTCAGTGTTACGATAGACATCAACAGAAATTTGAAGACGCCTGCGTACTTTACTCAATTAAGGCAGCAATGCAGCATCAATTCCACAAGTAGAGCTTTTTTCTTGAGCTTTTTGCAACACTTTTGAAACTTAAAACATGAGATGCAGTTCACACGAAACGTCAACATTAAGGTTAAACATGTCTGCATATACCTCACTCGACTTCAGTTCAACACGTAGCTATTAGTTTTTTTTTTTCCTTTGGTTACATATCTGTTTGGTTTTGTTTTGTCATTGATATTCTTTCAGTTTTCTATAATTACTTTTTTATATGATATTTTATACATTTATTTATTTATTGGAAGATATAATGCTTAACAATAATGTATTTTCAAGATCAATGAACACAACAGAATGGACGTGGGCTGGGTGAAGACTTGGCCGCGGTGGAGTGATGGTATTTGAAGCCAGCCAGAAAACCCATTTGCTCTGTATGCTTGCCACTGGGACAGCCAGCTCGAACGCTGGCACAACTTGGCCAAACGGGGAAACCTGTCCTCGTTCTGGGAACCAGCACGGCAGCGGGTTTTGAGTCGTGGGAATTTGCAGTGTTTGCAAATAATCACAGACATTTTTGTGAGTGGTGAAATAAATCCCCACTCTCCTTCCACTTTGATTACAAAAAAAAGGCTACTGGAGCCTGGTTCCACTTGCCTAATTTTCTCTCCTTACCAAAGCTGCACATTCAGAAATAGAAGACAAATTAAATCAATTTCGGTGACGGACTAATTTCTTTCAGTACATTTCTTCTCGATTCAAAAGCACACGATTAGCAACTAGTCAACGTCTACATGACATTCTGGAGTGGTAAAGTTGGATAAGCCCGAACAGTCCCTAGTTTACACAATAAGACCAGGGCCATGATTTGAACCCATAACCTCAGAACTGTGACTACTACTACTACTAAGAAGAAGAATTATTTTAAGAACATTCCAAAACACAATATTATCCTTGCCAAAACTGTCAATATTTTCAGCCAGCTCAAAATGAACTCATTAGCACCCCCTTCCCCTGAAAGTAAGTAAAATTGACCCCTGACACTAAGTTCTGCTTGTACATGAACAGGAAGTCAATTTTTGTGGGAAGTTGCACACTTTTTTTCGGGATTTTCACCACTTCCATTTTTTTGTACTTGACCAAACACCCGATTCATTACCAATTCCGAAGCAAGTAGACTACCTTGTTTATAGGAATGCCTGTCAGGATGGCTCAAATGGTCTCAGAGGTCTTATATTACTCAGGGCTATATCGTCTTTTTATTTGTCACCCATAGTTCTCAAGTTTCCCATCTCCTTTGAAGTCTGCCTAAACTGAAAGGAAATTTCTTCTAAATTTGACACACCCCAGAACAGTTTTAACACAACCTTTCCGAATTTGAATTATTTTTAAAAAGTATTTAAAAAAAATTCAAAATCATTGTTTCCGCTCTACAAAACAGTGGGTGTGTCACCAAATGAGCTGAAACCATGCCCGGTTCAACTGTGCTTTTCCACACCGCAACAACTAGGCACCCGAAAGCGGCCTTGCTAGCGCAAAGCCTCCATCCACAAGCTAGCTACTGCAACACAAGTGCGTGCATTCGCGGCTGACAATGAGGAACCCTAAATCGATCGCGCCAGCAAACTATCCGAAGGGAAGATGTATTTTCGGGGTTTAGGCATAGCTAGCTAGCTGGCTAACTGTACGTCGCATTCGCGCCGGATAACCACTGATGCGAATGAAAGTACTCAAAACATAGGTGGGAATATTTATGGGCCCCATTTGGGCCCCCCCCCCCAAAAAAAAAATATGACAAACTATCGTGGTAAACAGCAGTTTACTACTTTATTTCCACAAGCGGCAACGACATCGTCTCAGTCTTCACGTTTTGAGCAATTATCTTCAAACATGTCTAATGTATTTCGAAACAAATCCCGGAATTCACTTTCTAGGGTCTGAAGTCAGTCCAGTACAACACTTGAGTGGATGAAGTTGAACATGAATGGGGGCTGCTTCCAAGAAACTCAAAATCAAGTCATCTGCAGGAAAGCTGCAAAGACATCTGGCAAGAGGGGAGTGGGTGGGATGCACGGGTCACGGCATGATTCACACTCTCTCTCTCTCTTGCTCACATACACACACACCTAACCTCATATTCAACTTTAGCACCATTAAATCAGATATTAGAGGGTGCGTGACATATTTTCATCTGTTCGAACAATTTCGAGGACTGTCAGTCAGTCATGACATGCAAAAGGCGAAGCAAACACACCAGCGCAGGAGCAATTATTATCTTTTTACGACATTGTTTTAACAGACAATAAAAGGTCAAAGCTATGAAGGAACCGGACTCTTTATGATCACTTGACATTTTCCCAGCCGCAATTATGTCTTACAATTACATCTTTCCTCTCTTTCATAACATTTGCACCTCTCAGGAGGCGCTGTCGGTGTGACGCCACTTTTCTTTTACACGCGCAGCTGCAGTAAACGTGTCGCTCAGGTAAGATGAGTCACGATCCGCTCAGGTGATTTATGGGAACGCGGGGTTGTCCTCTTTGTTGTTGATTGTGGTAATGGGGGTCATAAAGTGCAGCTTGTAATAAACACATGACTCTGCTTGTAAATGCTCCCTCATCTTCTGAGGATTTTTTTCCCCCTAAAGCTGCCTGTTATTATTAAGAGAGAGAGAGAGAGAGAGAGAGAGAGAGAGAGAGAGAAACAGTCATCAAATCCTCAATTTGTGCATTTGCGCAATTGATAAAACTTCCAAATTTAAACCACGTCATACTAGATAAATATCATTATAATTTA